GCTGTGCCCGCGGACAGATCCTTTTTTGGTTTCGTAAAGTACCTTTTCTTTTTACAGTGTAGGAGCATTAGATGTTGATAAAAAAAATTTCTTATCTTATTAGAGAATATGCTTCAATGTATCATTTAAATGCAGATGTTCTGATTCTCGACCGAAATGATTAAAACAAAAATAATATTGTTCGATCGTACGTCATTTAGCTTTAGTTATTTTCTAAGCATTGCCGTGGAATATACAGGAAAAGATAACATATTGAAAGTTACTCATCAAACTCCTGTGAATGATAGTGATTCTTTGAGTATAGAAAAAATAGATATTATTATTGGTCAAAGATATAACGCACGTGGTGTCAGACATTCCTATGAACAAGATCCTATTTCAAATGATCTTAATCGAAATATGTACCAAGGGAATAAAATAGAAAAAAATAAATAAGATTTAATATTAAAAGAGACTTATCATATTACAAATTCTGCTTATATATTTCAAGTATTATTATTAATAGTTCATATATAATATCTCAAGTTCTAATGATGGTTGTTAATATAGACCGAACATTGAATACCTATACTCGTATATACATAACTATAGAATGAAAAGAAAACATAAGAGTAAAGAAAAAATTTGCCTTTTTCATCTTTTTCAAATAAAAGTATAGCATCAAATACAAGTCAATTGTTGGTCTATATATACATATAAAACTCTCTTCATTATTGTATCTCATATACTTTAATTAATTAAGTTTATTTTTCCTTCTGCAAGTTTCATGTATCGAATAGGTAATCATTTGTTAGGTTATTAAATAAAAATCATTGTTTCTTGTAATCACATAGACTAGATTGTTTTACTATGAATATAACTAGAGCTGTTTATTCAAATAGAATTTGAACGAAAAAACACGTGTTGATTCGCTGATTTATGTATACATCAGTGAGAGACAAAATCGAAATATGTTTCAATCGATATGAATAGAAACAAACAATACTCTATAGCTATAGAGAAGAAAAAAGAAGAGAAAAAAATAACAGAGGTACATAGTATACATTATCTGTTAAAAACGACAAGATTAGATGGACGTGATTAGAAACGTACCAATGGGTACTGGTGACATTCATCCCATAGTTCTCGCCACATCTGGTGTTGCATCTTGTCTCGCCGTTGTTATAGAACTTGAATATAAAATTTTCATTCACCCTGCTAGTACTGATCGCATCAATATTTCATCAACATGTTCAATCGATGATGCACACAATTTTTTAATGATAATATTTAAGAATCTCTATGAATTAGACCCGTATGCAATCATCAAAAGTGTATTTATAATTGGTGGATGAAATGGTATGAATTATTTGGCATTACGAAAGCAAATCGATCTAATCGTAATCATTGAGAAATAAAAATGAAACAAAATAATTCGTCATCACCTAACAATTTTGATTTATTTGTGAGTAAAATTATGTTTAACGTAATTGGTTTTAATTTACCAGTAAAAACATCCGATGCTAAAGATAAAGAAGAAGATGAGGACGACAATCCAAATGATTATGTCCTTGATGCTACTATCGTATATGATCGATCATTAAATTCTCATCCATTTGTTATTGGCCAATATGCCGGTCGAGAATATTAAATGACTACTAATCGAAATGATTCATTATTACAAGTTATATATGAATTTGATCCGACATTGAAACATTTCCGAGCATTCATATGTGCGAATGCTTGTCAATCACCTTATTATACTGATTTGTTAAATCAAGTGTTATTCAATGTTAACGATCAATCATATATTTATGATTCTTTCGATGATGATAATTTTAAAAGAAAAATAGATACTTTATTATCACGAGTTAAAAAAACCACAATCTTCTAAGAATAATAAAAACTTTTGCACTTTTGTGCTTTTTTTTTAAATATGTTTATGTGTGATAGTCATTTGTAGCAAGTAGTATGTGATCGTTAAGCTTTCAATAAAACTGCTAGTGTCACAGTGTTGACTCTTTTCTACTCAACATTACGTCGGTTTAGCGATAAAATACCAATGTTTCAAGAACAGATCTTGCCAAAATTGAATATCTGTTGACGCATCCCTACTAAACTGACAAAAAAACAGATCTTTTTCTACAAAAAATTTTGTAAAATGTTTTAGAAATTTGCTGAAGGATGGTAAGGTTCATTAGATATAAAAAGAATTGGAATGATAAATTGATTTTCTGATCCAAAAGAAAATAAATTGTTAAGATTTTTAAATGAATAAATACAGAACATCGAAGAAAACTTTTATATGATTTAGATTATTTTATTCTAATAAATGCCTAGTCGAATTTTTTTTGTCAAATGCATGACATATTGGAACATCTGGATCATGAAAGTCATGCTCTATGGACACATCTTGAGACAAGCCATGTCAAGAGCATACGAGACGAAATTTCTCGAAAACATGTACGAATGGATGTTGTAGATACTTCTCTTTCTTAATGTTGTTCATGCCGATAACAGATCGCCCCAAGAAAAAAAATTATCTACTACTTTTAGTCACCGTGCTAGTGAGTATTCTTATCTAATTTGCATGAGCTTCTTGAACTTCTTGAGTAAGAAAGTCATGCATTATGGACATATCTTGAGATCAAGTCATGTCACGAACTTGAAAACAAGTTCGACTAGGGATATTTTATTTATTAAACATAGTCATTTATATATTCAAATACTTTTTTCATTTGAAATTAATCAAGTAGTTCTTAATAAAACTAACTTTAAATAAATATATAAATAGTTGAATATTTCATTTATTAACACTTTAAACTTTCTTATATAACTACTCATCCTTTTGACTAAAATTTTATTCTTAGACATGTATTGAAACAAATTAGGATGACTAGTGTTCTCTTTTATCGTTAGATGTCCTCTTTTATAGTGAAAATCTTATTTATTCATTCTGTGTTGACAATGAACGAATAAAAGTGTCCTTTCAAAGTAACGGTCGAAATAAACTACATTCAAATGTGAATATTCGCACTTGTATTATGTTAAAACTGTTACGTACTGGTGGTTATCTGCTTATTGTAAGATATGACAGTGTAATTAGAATGTGTTTAAGTTTTGTTGTATATATATTTAACACAATATATAGCACATTTTTCAAAAGAGCAGTCATCTTGGATTTTTAACCACACAAGCCTTGCTCTTTTATTCTGTATAGATTTGCTGTCTAATTTGACATAAAATAACGTGTGCTAATCAACACATATAAATCTGAAATTATTGATTAATAGATTGTTGTGAACAAATTATGCGATAAAACTTTAGAGAGAAAAGCTGCAGACTATACAGCAGAAACTAGCTGATAAATTTTCGAAACCGTAGCATTACTGTTTTAAGGAGACCTTCATTAATAGTTTAATTTCAAGTATTTTATAATCTTGATGAAACATATTAATAATCGAAGATCAATCGAAATAGAAATATGTCACATTTTTTGATACATAATTTGAAATATAACAGGTTTCTTGAAGTGTTATGATATTGGCTGTTTCTTTATTCAAAGAAAAAAATTATCTGAATTATTTAAATCATACCGTGGAGCAATATAAAACAAACCTTATTCAATTACTTGTGTAAATTGCAACAATGATTACATTTCTTAGAATTTTGAAAATGCCGATCATGTCGTAATATTATTTAATAATTCACAGGCGCACAAACACAGAATTCTGATTTTGCTTAGAGCATGTATCGATATCCTTAATCTATTAAAAACGAAGAGCAATTGTTCTTATTCATTCGATGGATATTTTTTCAATTATACGCTCAAAAGAAAAACAAACGTTTACATACCTTTATTGACATAAAATGTTAGTAATGGTGTGGGTGTGGGTGTGGGATAGGGTCTTCAGTTCAACCATACTCACACCCACATCCACACCCTCTTACTGCAAACCATGTAAATAGAATGATTATTACTATGTTTGCACAATACTAAGAGTATTGTTAGTGGAAGATACCAATTTTATTTCAAGAAAGATGACTTAGTAGCTAATTCTACACATTATAATACAATTTTTTCAATAATATAGAGGCACTATAACAAACTGTTCAAATCTCGATGTGCTTAGTAAAAACCCAAGGTATGGCGAGCTTTTTAATCATAGTCACATCCACACTAACACCCTATAAAATTCGTAAAAAGATATTCATCTCAATCGGCTATAACCAGTATGGATATAAAGGGTGTCCCTGAAATTCTGAAGTAAATTTAAAATGCATCGTTCTCGCATTTGACAAAAGCAAACTGTTTGAAACTTTGGCAGATTATTGTGCATGCTTGGTACTAAATAACTACAAAGTTTCAGATATATAACTTGTATTATGCATGAGAACCAGTAATAAGACTATCATGTACTATTTTTTCAATTTTCCTATCTTTCGGATTTGCAACTTTTTTTTTATTTTGCCTATATCTCGGCATTGGTAAATGATGAAGTCTTGAACTTTTTCTTGAAAGATGCGCCATGAAAAGCTCTACAAAAATTGTAAAACTTAATTCCTATTGGCTTGTGTTAATGGTTTCTATCATAGTCAAAATGAGAAACCTACATGATAGTAGTACTTCTCACCATGCTGTGCATAATAAATAAATGTTTGGATGACCATTTTATTTTGCTTGTATCTCAGCTTGAGAAAACGAAAACACATTGATTGTTTTTCAAAAGATGCGCTGTCGAAAGCTCTACCAAAGTTGTAGAAACAAGTTCCTATTGAAAGACAAAAAAAAGTCTTCCAAGCATTTATTTATTACGCACAGCATGGTGAGAAGTACTACTATCATGTAGGTTTTTTTATATTGAGTATAGTGGAAACCATTAAAACAAGTTAATAGGAATTAGTTATTACAATTTTTGTAGAGCTTTTCATGGCGCATCCTTTTAAAAAAATCCAAGATTTCATCATCTACTTATGCCCAGATATAGGCAAAATAAAAAAATGTTGCAAACATTTTGGCACACCCGGAAGATGATCAGGATAATTGGAAAAATAGCACATGATAATGTTATTATTGGTTCTCATCCATAGTACAAGTTATATAACTGAAACTTTGTAGTTATTTAGTACTAAGCATGCACAATAATCTGCCAAAGTTTCAAACAGTTTGCTTTTGTCAAATACGAGAACGATGCATTTTAAATTTACTTCAGAATTTCAGGGACACCCTTTATAGTAACTGAATTGAAATGATAAAAATATATGAAAACGTTGAATATATAACGAAAATCAATTAGCAATGATTGTATTTCGAGCTATTGATGAATTATTTAATGATCAAGTTTGATCTCAAGCAGATGAAGCTAAATTTACATATTTATTGCACACTGAACATCAATTGACTTATTCAATGAAAATTACGCAAAATACAGTTTATTTAGCAAAGAATCAGAGCCGATAACTTGCAATGATGTGGATAAGATTTCTAATAGAGTTAGTGAATCAACACAATGTGTTGAACAACAAATACATGATGGTTCAATAAGGTTTTGGTGTAACCAGACTAATATGTGTAATTATAAAAAAAGTGTTTTTGATTATTTTTTTCATAAAATATCTTGATCAATTACACAAAACTTATCCTCACATTCTCATATGTATATTTTTATTATTGAAGTAGACGATGTTATCCGGCAATATGTCACTTGAAAGCTTGATATGAATACTCAATGCTCATATGAAAGTCCTTCGCTCTGAAATTATTCCTTGTCTGCATTGCAATTCATTTAATCATCTCTGAAGACTTATGAAACATTCTGTATCACTTTTAATTTTGTCGCTGAATGAAAACAAGAATATGAAAATAAAACTATTACAAAAAAGCCAAGACAATTCGTTTCGTTTTCACTAAAGTTATGTGTAAGATGGTCCCTAATACAGTCGCAGTGAGCACACTAATATTCAATACTTTTGTCTATTGCATGGAAGTACTAAGCTGATTCGTAGCATTATTTCACGCAAAATAACTTGTACAAAAGCTGGGTATTAATAGGTTTGGATTTGTAGGAAGGATGTGAGTGGAAGTGGATTTCGGGTATTCATCCATATCTATACTACTTCTCACGTGCATTCACACACACACTCTCAATTAAGTATGTGTTCGTAGTTTCCACATTTTTTTGAAGACGTACATAAATTCAAGTTCTTGGCTCCTGCGACTTGATAACTATCGCATTCTCGAAAATGATTTTTCGAAATAAAGATAATCAAGTAGTTCTGATAATTTGTTGCCTTTTATGTTGACTAACATATATTCGTGCTTGAACAATGAATATATACACTTTATAATGAAACAAATTAATGAATAGAAATGATACAAGAGCAGAACAAACAATATTAGAAACAATCAGTTCTAATCTACATAAAGAATTTCTACACGAAAGTATTTTCACAGGCAAATAGTTAATTCATTATAATCACAATATCCATAAAATGGAGTCGATCTCCATCTCAAAGGTGTGTTGGCAGATATCCATACTGATATTTTCGAACAGTAGCCGAATCGACTAATCCAATTTGTTTTGAAAAGCCATAGATGTGGCAAATGTTCACCATCAAGCAACACATCAAGACAATTGTAGTATTCATCAGTGTTTTTAAGTTGAATTTTGAGTGAACGAAGATTGGGAAAGCATTTAACAAGCTTGATGACAGTATTCAACGACTTTATTTTATTCTTTTCCAATATCAAATGTAATACATTGGAATAAATTATTGTATCTTTCAAAAATTTGAATCGTTCAAGTAAAGTCAATGTTTGAATACGTTTTGTCGGAAGAAACGAAATCATATTAATATTAGTTGTTTTCAAATGACGAAGTCGACGAAATTTCTCATGGTCATTACCAGAGATATTGTATTCGACCAGAACATTGAGTGTATGAATATTTGGAAAACGTCGTGATAAATCTGTACATGGTACATCAACAGTTAGATATCGAATATTCGGACAAATACTAATTGTATCATCATCCGCCAACATCGATATGTCAAGTTGTTCGAATGACCATGGAATTGTGTACAAATATTGACATAAACCATTCGATTTCAATTTGCATGCTAAAGGCCAACGTTTGCTTAGCGTTGCAAAAGTCTGAAAAAAAAGTTATAATGAAAATATCATGCATATCAATGAAGTTTAGTATTCGAGTGATGGAATAGTTTACCTGCATATCGATATTATGGGCTGTCTGAATGAAACAATGAAATTGACGAAGTCGAGGCATAAATTGGGAAAATAGCATTTCTATTTGATCGCCTTTCACAAATTGTTTCTCGTTACTAATCCACTGTTTTACATCGAGTGTGAATTTTTCGAGTTGAATAAGAGGCATTACCATTCCACGTAAATGATCGAATGTAATTATCACCTGTGCTTCAGTCTTTATTCGAAATTCAGTTAAATGCATCATCAATTGACGCGGCCAAAGTCTTGGTACCGGTGATCGTTTAAGTGCGCTAGATTTGCGTACGATAACATTAAGAAAGATTAAATTAGGCATCAAACCATCGAATAGTATAAATAGATCATCAATTGTTTGTAATGTAATGGTCAATTGTTTGAGATGCTGTTTCGGACATTGTTGTTTATCGAGAATAATGCCCTCTTTTATACTCAATTCAAGTTCTGCGAGTGAATTCAAATTATTATTGAATAATACATTGCGAAGACTTTCGATTTTCACGTAGTCAGTTGACGATTCTTTTTCAATCGATATAGATTCGACAATATGCAAAGATCGTAATAAACTAAATTTTTCTACACGTGATTCAAAGCTGGAGATGTTGCTCTTTGTACATTCTAACAGTGACAAACGGCGAACATAATTAGTACAAAATTTTATTGATGAATAAAATTCATCAAAAAACAGTGCAATTTGTGTGGGCATATTAATATTGCTTATTATTAACGTAGATGGTTGAAGACGTTTATTAGCAAATAAATTTAGATAAATTTGAAAATCCGTGTAAGAACATTCGGTCAAATCGATTTTTTGATGATATTTGGATATGCAAGAAAACACATGAGAGTTATAATCGAGAAATGCTTCGATTACATGTATTGGAGACAAAAAACGACAAATCATAAGAATAATTTCATCGGGTAAATTGTCGAAACGCGTAAAGTGTTGGATAAGACTCTTGGTTTTTGGCTGACATAATTCTCTAGCCTTAAATTAAACCATGTTTTAAAGAATACTTCATTTATTATTCGTATACTTACATTTGTCGTTTTTATTCCTTGTATTTTATATTGTGAACGATAGTACTTATTTGAAATAAAATTCATCAAGAATGACATGCTTGGAAAATTGAAAAGAAGATATGAACGACTTTCAACTATACAAATACGTATTTATAAGGATGGCAGCTATGTCCGCGGACGAGAATCATTCTTTTTTTGTCTCATGTAGACGGTCATATCATATACAATTCAATGCAGACTGACAGTCATTGTTGTATCTCTTTTATCACCAAATATTTTTTTTACCAATATACTTCGAGAAGAAATGTATTGCATACGCATAATGCAAAATAGATTTTCTTGTATCATACATGTGACTGAGTAGAAGGTAAGGGTGTGAGGTGTGAGTGTTGGCATTCTATTTAACCGCACCCACTCTTACTTGTTATCCAGAGAAAATTTTAATTATTGACAAGCTTACAAAAAAAAACAATAAATAAAAGTTTGAAATATTCAAAATAAAACAGCATTGCAATGTGGACCTGAGCAGGGACAATCTCAGCATCTGTTCAGAGGCTATCGACCCAGTTGATTTCGAACATAATTATGAGAAACTCTTTTAAACCTTTATGTGCTGATTCTCCAGGCTAGCAAACCTTTGCCAAAATCATTTGTGATCTATTCAGATTATAAAGTTTATCGAATTGTTTTTCAGTCAATAATCTTTTCTGTTTTCCAAGCATGAATTTTAAATAAAATAATATACCATCTTGAAGATTTTCACAGTGAAACTTTGTTATGTATCGCTTGGATGCACTAAAATGGTTGTATTTTGTGCAAAAGAAACAGAAAAATTTTCTGTTTTTGGCAAAAAGCTTTTTAGCTTGGAAAAATAACACATAAAGACCTAAGGAGATTTCTAATCGTTATAAATGGAATCAGCATGGTTCATAACCTGCAATACACTAGCTTTCAATGAAAGCACGATCGTTTAATTGAAGATGGTTCTCTCGTCCGAATTTTTAAGACTGCTTTGTTTAACGTCAATGCAATCGTCCATTCAGCCTAGAATATCTTCTCAGATAACTGAATTTTTCGAAAAAAGAATACCTTAAATTGACAACAAAATCTCGAGATTCATCAATTCAAACAAAGCTTATTTTATTCTTTGCTATTGTTTATCTTTTGATTTTATCCTCATACAATTTAAGTGAAAAGCAAAAATAGTCAAACTCGAAAGAAGGAATTTAATATCGCATTTATTATCTTACATAGAGTGATTTGCTTTTCAAACGCATACATGAATGATATATCTCATATGTATAGAACAAATTAGATCTAGAAAGAATATTTGCTGCTTGAATTCGACAGAAAATAAAACGAATATCAATAAAAAATTCATTTGGTGCATTTGTTTGTTAGATATCAATATCATTTGTTCTATCTGGAGCTGATGAATTTCGGTTACTAGTCTGACCAGAATTTTTGTTTTTCGTTTTTTTATCTTTAGTTACTGCTGTTAGTTTATTTATTTGACGAACAAGATCAAAAAATATCTAAATCATATGCAAAATCAATTATTTTGTTTTTATAAAGTATATTTTAAAAAGTTGAACCTCATTAACATTTATTCTTTGTTTTGCAGATGTTTCCAGAAATGTTGATTTCCAATAGCGTGCTAATTCTTTACCAAATTCTTTTCCAACTACATGTTAATCTTCAAGATCGTATTTATTTCCTACTAGTACCGTTGGTACCCATATTAATTATTACAAAAAATGTATATAAATAATATCACAAATGACAAACAAAAAATTTTCTTACATCAAATGTATCTTTTACTTTAAGAATTGTATCACGTAAATCAATAAGATCATTATATGTTGATGGAGCAGTTATTGAATATACAAGTACAAATCCTTGACCATTTTTCATATACAAATCTCGCATAGCAGTGAATTGTTTCTGAAAAATATTGAAAATCTATTCTCATGCTGTTCATATATGATGTTATTCATGACCATTCTTTTGAAACTTGTCAGCGTAATCCTTATAGAGCTGAATTGTGGAACACATATATGTTCCTTAGCCTCATTAGAACAATACAAAAATACGTTAAATGAAAAATCTCTAACAGGCTATACTTGTTTTTCAAGAATAACCAATCCACAGAGAAACGATCTGCTGCATCGATCTCTGTATTCCATATTATTATTCTAACCATTGAATCAACTGGCAAAAATTCTGTTGTACATGTGTATTATATCTATGTGGAGCCTCAATCCACTATTGCATACTTTGCTCGAAACAGAAATAATGGTATTGATCATTTTATTCAAAAATTTATTTCAATTTCACGAAGTAAACTAACAATATTGAAAAAGTTTATTTTATACATGTTATTATACATGGTCGAGAATAGATCGAAATGGTGACTTAAAAGATCACAAAAGAAATTTTGAAATCAACCAATGTTTTGTATGAATACAAAGCGATACGTAGTATCTTTCTTTTATTTATTAGTATTTTCTATTTTATAGGAGAGAGGAATTCAAACAAAACAAAAATTGATCCTCAAATATGTGAATAGGGTGTGGGTGTGGTTGTGAGTATCATTTCTTTTTAGGTACACCCACACCCTTCTGTAGCAATTTTAAAAGTCAACTATAATGATAATTAAACAGAAAAATTTTTTTGAAACTTATATAGATGATTTGTAGTTAATTTAAACGAAACTACCTGAACTGAAAGCAACTAATTGAGTGTATATTGGACGTGAGTGTAGACTATGTATAGAATGAAAGAATCAGTAATGCCCGGACGTACACCGTAGCTCTTGTAGTATTTTGTAATGTATTAAGCGTTTATTAAAGTGTATGAAAAATAGTCTGATCGATCCCTCATTGATTAATAAAAGAGATCTGATTGTCAGCAAAGATCAAATATGATATTTGAAGGAGAGTTCTTGTCTGTTTCAAAGTATTGGAAGGTAATGCGTTAATAAGTGTCATAAGACTAACTTTATCAGAATCCGCTTTCGAAATCCTTCTAGAAGAGTTTTTTTAAAGAAGAAAAACCAAATCTTTCGAGAAGATTGATCTTATCAACTACAGACCCTAGTTTATGCTAATGACATCTGCATAATGGTAGCGAATTCGATTGTTTACATCTATCTTCAATATTTATTCTCCAGTACTCCTCTGATTCATCATTCACTGGTCTTCATCAAAGTTTAAACTTTTTTTTGACTTCTCTTTGCATCTTATTGTGCAAGATACCTTTAGTTCCTCGAATGTTGTTCACTTTTGTATTGTTCTTTTTGACTTCATACTATGCAACAGCACTTAAAAATGACGATGAAAATACACAAAAATTTCATTTTTTATTGCAACTTTTCAACACAAACATATGTCATCATCAGGCAATTATGAAAATTTTTCACCATCCCGAGAATACATCACTGTTTTATTTTACGTTTTTATTCATTAGAATCATATGCCAATATATTTTGATTTATGGAAGTTTAAATTGTGATTCATTTTTACAGAATGTTTTACAACAGTTGATGATTGATCATTGTTCAATTGATATTTTTCTTTATATTGTGGATATCCATGCCTACCTACATACCCACATCCAACTCGTAGGATTTTAGGTGGAAACAGCGGAAGTGAAAATGACTTCCTTTTTCTAACGTTGCATATTTCGCAGAGTTCAATAGTGAATAAGAAACAGGAATATATACGCCTGTTGCATCTATTCTGTTTTGCCTTGAAGTAACATGATGCATGGTTTTTTCCCCACAAATGACTCATTTTTTTCTTTTCTCCCATGTGCCTTTTTTGTTTTTTCTTTCCAATATGACTCAAACATTTCTTATCGTCATGGGCAAAGTATTTCCCTTATGAGCTTCCCAAAGTGATGCAGTAGATTTTGGAATAAGCCTAGCAAGATATGATCGCCCCTATTTAACAACCTCAGTACATAGTGATTGAATGCAGTAGACCATCATTCGATAATCATTATTTTATTTACTGAAACATTTTCGCATTCAACAAAAAAGTATCGAAGTAAGTCTCAGGCACACCCTGTTCAATCTGAAAGAGCAAATTACATAAGACATCTTTTTTCTGAAGGAAATCATCCAACAAAATTTGTTTTCACTGCATGTTTATCGATTTAATTAGTAGAACCTTGCCTGTATACTGTATATTTAAATCGATTTCCCCGACTGATTCCATGCATTTCAAAAGCACATTTTCAAACAGAAATCTTTTCACTGTCAGAAAAAGTATCGAAACGAGAAGTTTCGAAAAGTTCTTGACAAAATAATTCTCAAGGAATATTTTTGTCAGCAATAAAATTTGAAAGATTAATCCTAAATAGAACTATTCATACTTAATCTTTAATTATGAAATTCAATTATTGAACATCAATATACTAATGTTCTTTTGAATTTATTTCAGCTTATTAAGATTTCAACTTGATTTTTCTGGAATGGCAGTACCTCTGATCAATATAACCAATACATCTTCTGACATCTCTGTATCTGCAACTCGCACATCACTATCTTCGACTGCTATTAGTGATAAACTTCGTGTATTGCGTGAAAAATGTGCTCAATTCAAAAAATGTGACATTCATACGATGAATGCTCTTAGTGCAGCAGGTTTTTCTTATACAAATCAAGGTGATACTGTACGCTGCGGGACTTGTGGACTCGAAGTATCGAATTGGGATGCCAACATGTCTCCATTTCTAATTCATGCTCAGCGTAGTCCATCCTGTTCATTCGTTCGTTCATTTCAAGCGGCACAGAATCGTATCAAACAAACAGCTCATCAAAGAAATGAATCAAAGTGTTCTCGTAAAAAAATCATTTTTGAAAACGATATTGTTAAACAAGTTCGTGTTCGAACATTCTCTAATTGGCCACATCAAACATCACCTTCTCGTGCACAAATGATTGAAGCTGGTTTTTATCGATGCAATGTGCTCGATCGAGTCATTTGTTTACATTGTGATTTGATTTGTCAACAATGGATACCACTCGTCGATGATCCAATTGAAGTCCACCGAACATTATCACCGAAATGTCCTTTTGTAATAGCCATGCTAACAAAAACTGAAGAGGTATCCATATCGCCACCGGCTATTATCAATCAATCATCGACAAACAGCACTAATCAACCTTCTTCGAGCCTGAACAACATTGAATTGTTACGTGTTGGTAACGTTGCTAGTGCTTCTCCCCATCACAGTGCCTATGCTGAAACACCAAAACGTGAAGCATCCTTTGCGACCTGGTCCAAGGAAGAATTACCTACCATAGATAATCTTGTTCGAGCTGGTTTCTTCTATAGTGAAACAGACAACACCGTGACATGCTTCTATTGCAATGGTTCTTTGCATGAGTGGAGTTCACACGACGATCCAGTGATGAAGCATGCTCATTGTTTTCCCCATTGTGCTTATATCAAACAGCTTTGTGGTGATGACGTTCTTCGTAAAATTCAAGAAGCGAAGCAACTCGAACAACGTAAGTTGTGATGAATCTGTTAGTAAGGGAAATATCGATATAAATTTAACGTTTCCTTTTTTTTTTCTAGAACGTGAAATAATAAATAATGGAAACATACAGACTATGACAACACCAAAGAATATCTTTGACGAACATACGTGTGGACGTATGGTTGCTGCACGTCTTGATTTGCCTATTTCACAAAAATTACTCAGCCAAAATTTTTCTTTGTCAATCATTCGACGTTGTTGGGAAGATCAACTTCGACTAAAAGGTATAATTTCGTTCATCAATCGGTCTTGCATACATCATTTTTTATTTTAATTTAGGTGATGATTTTGTCAGCGATAATGATTTGAAAATCGCTTGTACTATTCTACAAAAGCAGATCGAATGTATCAATGGAAATAAAGAAAACATAATTGTACCCAGCATAGAAATGGCAAAACGTCGCGAGTCAAATAACAACAGTAAGCATTATTGATTGAATCATATTGAGTTTTTTATTCTAAGTAGCAATTTTTATTCTAGATGCGATGGAAACTGATTCATCATCTCTAATCAATATAAGCAATGGTCCCATTTGTCAACCATCATCATCAAACCAAATGCCAACAAAAGTCAATGAAATGAATACGGAAAATAGTAAATCACCGTCGAATCCCTGTGCACTCTGTTTGACAGAAGAAAGAAAACTCGCTTGTATACCATGTGGTCATTTGGCAACATGCGTACCTTGTGGTCACTCTCTACGAAAATGTCCTTTGTGTCGACAAAACATCAAAGCTTATCTGAGAATTTATGTCTAATCACAACCTTGAACAAAATCCTATTTCTGATACTTACTACGTCGTTTGTAGATCAGATGTCCATCTGTTTTTTTTGTATATTTTCTGTCTGACTTTTTAATATGATTGAGTTCGCCTTGTAAAAGCTTTATTCGTTGTACAACAACGTGTTTATTTAACTGAATTCAAAACCATACTTGAAATTCTTATCTTCTTTCGTTAATGTACTTGTAATTTTGAGGATGTACAGTTGAGCATCATTCACAGATACCTACTCATCATCACTAATAACGACAACTATATGCATTAGCACATCCACACACTATCAAACTCACCTACATCTTCAAAGTGACATGTTTCACTAATGCTCTACGTAGAGTAGCCAAATGCAATCCACTTTTTTTCTGAAGTCGAAGACTAGATGACTCAATGATAACTATAGTAGTATAAGTTTATGATATTGGATCGAACTTTAGGTACTATAACGTTAACGGTTCGTCGTCACATATGATGTTGGAACTGAAGGACACCACATAATATCTTACTTTCAGTGGTCAATGGAAATTTGAGATTTGTTACTGATATTTTCTATATTGCTTGCTGGATTTCTTGTTTGCAGTTCAGAATTATGTTACTTCCCATGTCGCCTCTTTTTTACCAACTGCGTCGCAGTTGCGCGTAACTGCGAAATTTTTATGGGTATGGGTGTGGGTGTGGAGTGTGGGTGGTGTGTGGGTATGAGTGTTTTAAAAAAGAACCACACCCTGCCCACACCCACCCACACCCTTAGTTAAAATCAAGTAACTTTTTATTAAAATCTTTTAAAATAATTTAATTTCTATATATGTTTTCAAAAATCAAATTTATAAAAATTATCTATCAGTTTTTATTATTTTACAGAAAAGTGATAAAATTATCAACTTTAAGTCAAACGAAACTTTGAAAATTTTAATTTACTAAAAAATCATTTTTTTCATGTTCGCAAATGAGAAAAAACTGATAAAAATCGTTTTTTAGAAGTTTAACTGATTTTAATCATTATATTGATTAGAAATCTGGTTAATTTCTGGTTAAAATAGTACCATTTTAATCGATTTCTAACAAGGAAAAAATCAGATTTTTTCCAATTTTTTTTACTTGGGTAATTACAGTCTCTCTAATTGCTGCTTGTCATTTTATTTTTTTTTTCATTTCTGTCCTTATTTGTGCTTATGTTTCTGTGTACGTGAAGAAAAAAACGAAATCATTGAAGCAAAACAATAAAATCATATTGAATATTGTTAACATTAAATGGTACAAGATGCAATAGATCCTTGCAGAATTAAGATGATATGACGATCTTGTCTAATTTATCAGTTCCAAAAATTGAAAGAATCCTGATGATTTTTTTTTCATAACCTTACTCATGCCTACTGTTGTACTTTTCTAGTTTTCTATCTTTCATACTCATATGTAATTTTATTCGGTAATAAACATTTATCATTGCTCATCATGTGACAGCGACAATACAGAAGAAAGGTGAAAATAAATATCACGAGAAAGAACAGCGCTTGAGAAAAAGTGTCGCTTAGTGGAAAACCTAGCCACATTCATTCAGTAATTTATGCGTAATACACTCAATCATTGATCAAACTAAAACTATCATCAAACGTTAAAGGCATAATTTGAGCGTAAGTAGATTGCTGATATCATTTAATTTTTCTCCATTGTGTTACCAAGGATAGTTAATATTAATATTGTTTGAAAGAAAGAATAACGATGATCGAATTCATCAATGGAGACCATGAAATATATAATTAAATAAATGTAACTTATTTTTTATTGCACATAACTCTGTTTACGAGAAGATATTACGAATACGCAGGAAGAGCAATAGAACTTAGATACAATCATAAAAAATAAGACTATTACTATGAAAAGACATTGATTTGCTGAATAAAAAATACAAATATTCGAAAGAAAGTTTTTTTTCTATATTCTTGGAATCGAAAATAAATGAGAAAACCAGGTTTATATTCAAACGGGACTAGTTTTACATGGATGAGGTTATAGGTGTGGGTGTGCAGATCTTGTCTTCACCCACTGACTCGCTCACACTCAAATTCTCATATTTGAACGTTCAAAAGTCCAAAAATAACATTGAGTGAAATAGGATTACCGTCATTGTTGTAGAAAGATTTCGTAGTAGGTTGGAGAAGATGTCAAAAAACTGGCATCTTATATCTGTAGTTTTTTGAAATTTTCGATGATATCCGAAGTGTAGATTTTATTTGGAGCAACTCAGTCTTAATAAAAAATGAAATATATTGCCTGTGGAAATCTCATAGAAATATTTACAAACTTCAACAGACCAAGTATTTACGAAAAGATACCAAAATATTGAATATTTTCGTTTGTCAGTAGTTTAAATTGATTCACATTTAGTTAGATTTGAGATGTATGTAAAGCAAGAATCAATCATCTCTTTTGGTGAATTGTCTTTGAACTTATTAGGTATTGCCATAAAAATCGGTCAAAATTAGTTAATATAAAGTGATATGTGAGGATACTATCATAACATTCAACAAACCGTTCCTAATTCATTGCTAACTCGATTAAGAATAGAGAAGAACAGGCGGATACTGCATACATCCTGAGAAAAAATCTTGTTATATTTTCATATTCAGCGGTAAACAATGTCAAAACACTGCTAATTAGCATCAGTACCTTTCATAGAGCATTTTCCCGTCGATGCAATATCAAAAGGTGTATAGTCTATAATTGTTTGTATTTTCTGCAATGTCTACGAATTCAAACAATGAAATTGATGATACGATAATGATAAAACACTGAGCACACTCGTCTTTTGAGCATTAAAAAGGGTCTCAAATCAGCGTCTTATATGGGTATAACCCAAATAGTCGAATTTTCTTTTTATTAGTATATAATTTGAGTAAAACTTTCATTTGAGATGTATTTTAATCTAAAATCGAATTTTTTTCTGGACAATCCAGGGTAGTGTTATAGAAAATGTTTTTTCAAGATTTAATATTTATGAAAAAATTGAGTAAATAGTAATGGATAGAAATATGAATTTCAAGGACGATATCATTTTATCCAATGAAGCCTGCCGGAATGCATTATTCATTACATACTATTGTAGATAGAAATCAGGATGAGGGTCTAGCAGTAGAAATGTAGCTTATGCTATGGTTGACTAATTCTGTTCATAATAGGAAATCGTTAATTCAATGGCACAAAGTATGACGCCCATGAACAGCAATCGTTTTGTGAACGATGATGTCTCAGAACTTCAAGAAGCCAATCACAGTCCAATATACGGTTACCAACATTTGTCTGTTATGACATTAGAACAAGCTGTAGAAAAACTTGTTCCATCAGTTTCTAATCTTATAGATTATGTTGCTGAAGCTAAACAATATTGTAATAGAAATTCGTCTCTCATAACATGGGATGAATCAGCAGCAATATATCTTTACTCAATGCAAACCGATTTTTTTTCCATGCTTAACAAAGCACTTCGTAATGAAAAACGACATGTACTGAAGCCATGGTTCGCCTTTTTAAAGCTATTCCTTACTGCTCTGGAAAAATTACCGTCGCTTAATGATACTGTTTGGCGAGGCGTTTCGGGTAATATCAATTCTAATTTTGTGCATAATGGTCTACAAACTTGGTGGAGCGTGAATTCCTGTTCAAAGGCTCTCAATGTCATTGAACCGTTTGTCGGCAGAAAGGGGGTTGTATTCGCCATAAAAGTGATGCATGGCAAAGATATTTCTGCTTACTCAGCGTTTCCACACGAGGCAGAAGTGATTATTATGCCTGGAACTCGCGTACTTGTGAAGAGCAATCCTCTCAACTTTAACGACTGTCTCTTAATTGTTCACTTGGAAGAAGAATCTGTATGTGATCAAAATATACAATGGTGAGTCTGTACAGAAGATTTTATTAAACTAAATCAGTTTATGTGCTAGTGAAAGAGTCCTCTAAATATCATAGTTTTTGACGAGACATATGGATATACCCAGGGAATTAAAAAATGAAAAAAAATTATTAAAATGATGAGACAGACAAAAACATGCACATATTTCAAAGCCATTTTAATCAATGATTTTGAAATACATGCATCTTTTTGTCCGTCTCATAATCCGAAATGACATTTTTTTTTCATGTTTTCGATATAAAATTCATGAAAACCACAATTTTTTTTTATCTTTTAAGTTCCTGGGTATCAAGCTCTACTCGAGTGAGAATGAAAACTCCGAACATAGCGAGCTTTCAGTTTGACAATAGTTCAGTTTACCGTGAAACACTTGAGAATTTTTCAATTCATATTATTTGCACCATAAGATCAAATCAAACATACATCATGATGTTTCTTTCTATTGATGTGTGTTGAAACTACATACTATGTCTGTAGCCTATTATATAATCAATTTTTCACTGCAAAATCTTGCATATTGCTTGAGATTTTTGATTGTTATAGTGAAAGTACTTTTATCTTTGAGTTTGTTATTCACTTGCTGATGAGGAAACAAAAGGCTTGGTATTGATGATATTTCTCTTGTATCTGAGAGCAAAATCATTTTTAGATGCTAATTTGTCCTGAGTTAGCCCATGATATCTTCTACAGACTTCGTTTCTAATGCTTCTTCAGTCGGACATACTTTCATTCTTACCTTGTTAATCATATCTGAACATACGTAATTTAGAATTCATTAACATGATGGATAGACAATCGTTCAAAATTAAATCAATTCTACTCTTTTAAAAACATTTGGCCTTAGGTATTTACAAACAATAGAATATCTAGAAATACATATTGCAACAAATTTATTGTCACTTGACGTTACAGAGAATCAGTAAAGAGTTTATGGAAACATGAAAATAATAATCAATCTTTTTAAACGTAGTTGAAAGCACCTGGAATTTTGCACAATTTGAAGAATTTCGAGTCGAAACCGAATAGATAATTGTTTTTGACAAAAAAAAAGGTTGATAAGGAAATATTTACTTGCTATTAATAGGACTTGAGATCAACTATCAAATCATGTAACGAGTTTTTCTTTTGCAAACGTGCAAATACATAGAAATAAGTCTTAATTTAATACACTAACTCATTCTCCGAAGATGCTTTCTATGTGATTCAGAGATTATTTGTAGCATCAAGACTCTATGTTTTGTCAATTCACTCTCTATAAAAAAAATTGTCAAACATATGGGGGAATATTTTCTGAAAAAAATGTGACATGTTGCTACATACTCACGCTAAAATATAGAAGTAAGAAAATAACTACAAAACTTATTCTCACCCTTTAAATCAAATCTGCTTTTAAAATTATTTTCCAGTTAACTGAAGTTAAAAAGAATAAAATAAGACACTAATAAAATCCTAAGAGTCTATCTATATCATAACCTGAGAACGGGTGTGACTGAATGTAGGAGGATATGGGGGTGGATCTAGAGTCGACACACGTACTCATACCCAAACTCGCACTCTCCACCCAAATTCACATCCACACTCAGCATACCAAAAGTAATGAAATTTCGAAGAAAAGAAATATAAAAACAAGTTTTCTTCACCACATGTTCGAAGTAGTTCTTCTGGTTAACTACACAGAATTGCGTTCGTTCAAAACATTTGTCCAGAGAATTTTTATTTATGCTTTTCTTTTTTGATCGAGTTCATGAGCTTGGCTACAGTTCTGTATATAGTATCGTTGACATCAGACGAATTTTTTTCGACCGGTTGAAACTCCTGATTTAACCGGCGAAAAAACCTGATGCATTTAACATATCAATTAGCCAATCAGTTCTTTCGAGAAATAGTCTATTACTTCAGTTCTACGAAGACATATGATGTAAAACCCATATAGCTCTTGAAGTTTCTAGCATTAATAATTTTCTATTTTAGTCTGTCACCTTTCATATGTGCTAGAATTAAGAATAAACGAAGATATCTTTCAAAACGTTTCCTCTAGTAACTCTCAGAACTTAATATCAAATAATATCCACACTGTGCTCTGGCTAATTTTTTTCCATAATGATATTATTCCTTAAAAATTGATAAGTGTGATCTATTCAACGGAGACAGAGCATACTTTTGTAATTCAGAAGACTAGAAATACCGAGAAGTACGAAGAAGTACACTCTTTTCTCCTTGAATCTAGTCTTATTTGAAGTAATTATTTAACAAAGCTGAAAGGTATCTCAATTTGTACAAGGATACTATGGCTAATAGAAAGATAAGGTGAGCTAAACCGCCAGTTTTTCTACTAGATTTCCTTTTTTAAGATTCGGTGGGTGTGGATGTGATTGAAGAGAAGACCTACATCCTCAGACATGCTCACACTCACAACCGCACACCACACCCAAAATCTAAACTATATATTTTGTTAAAAAGAAAACAAAACAAACTAAGAATTCTGAATGGCAAGTCTATTATTACAGCAAAGAAGATTAGTCATTACATTTCGTTTATTATATATTGGTTGATCGGACTTCAATTCTTCTGATCAAAATCACTTAGTATCATATAGTCAGTCTTAGAGAGATAAGTGTGAGCTGTAGGTATCTATAAAGAGAAGATGCTCGCACACTCTATGATTTTCACCAATCAAATTCATATTTAATCAATATATCCAACAACAATGAAACTATTTTCGAAATCTTTCATTTGTTGATTGACGAGAATTCAATCACATCTCTGTCTTCTTCAATTCGATTTTCTTTTGAAGACAAACAACCTGATTTGTTCTTAAGTTAATCTTTTCTGTTTTTCTCGATCATCAATAAGTTGAACAACACGATTTTCGACCAGAATCTTATCAAATAATAACTTGGCTTCGAACAACCGATCTTGGCGACACTCGTTCTTTTCGACATTCGATCTTTATCTATTCATTAATCCTTTTCATCAAGAACTCAATCGTCGTTTCGAGATAGACAACAATATTTATCGATTCAGGTTCGACTTTTGGTCGCTTGTCATCACTGATGTTGAACTCTTCAGACGAAATCTCTAGGAAAGAAAGACATATGACTTGAAAAGAAATTCTCCACTTCTTCATTTCTCCACTAGGAGTGAAGCGAACGAGCGAAGAGAACATCAGAGTCAATGTGCTCATGATTACTGTCTGGTTAGTTCCACTTTGAATCGAGAAACATAGAGAAAATGAAGCATGTTTCATTAAGTCTTGCATCTTTGTTTGAAGACGATTTCGTTTGAAATATTGTGTACCTTGCATTTTATCTTAATGTTTTAAACGGTGCCATACTCTACTCTACCCTATTCTATCTTGCGAAAATCGTATCCTAGCTCTGACCCTCGGTTCGAGTAGGATAGGGCTACAGGACTCTATTAAAGATGTACGCCTTTTCCTCTTGATTTCATCGCAGACTAAAATTTTGATTGAGTGACTCATTGTTGATTAAAATCAAAGAATCAACAGCAATGACTTATATTTTCTCTAAATCTGCAGTTGTAACGAGAAGAGAAAAAAAATCAAGCTCTCCGATTTATAATGATCCATAAAATAAACTGTATTGGAAAGAGTATCAGGTATAAAAAAAAGTGACTCAACATGACAGTGAATCTAATGTACTTTGAGGAACATTCCGATTTTGTTTATTTATTAAATGTGAAGGAAAAAAGAAAGCGACAAGCAGAAAATGGCTACGAAGGAGCATGATTTTACAATCGACGGTCAAAAATGCCATTTTCATGATGAAAGTGATAAGGGTATTACTGCTGGTCATTTTCATACCTACGATGAATTTTGCGTATCACACGATCAACTACCACGAAAAATACATGTCTTTGTACCCATTGATTATTTGACCAACAATGAACAAAAACGATATCCCGTCATTTATATGAATGATGGTCAAACGGTATTTTGGAATGGAGGTGTGGCGAATAAATCTTGGAATGTAAATTACCTACGACTAGATGTTATCTTAAACATAATTGTGATACTTTCAGGTAGGACAAATGTTATCCAAAATACATGACAATAATAAATCTAAACAAGCGATTGTTGTTGCCATTCATCCCATTGATCGTAATCGAGAATATACACATTCACATTGGATGTGGTAAGTTTATATTGAATTTGCAAGAAAATCGATGATTATGATCACTGAAAAAAAAAGAATTTGACGAAGTGAAACTTATGAGAGCAGCCAACTTGCTCTATCATATATTTAATACTAGTACTTTTTACTTTGACGTTTTCAAGCTTCAGAATGACATATCTTTCAAGGAAAGATCTCAAAATATGTACATTTCAAAGAGTTTCTGTTTGTGAAAGAACATCCTTGTGAGTATTTAATGATGTAAATCGTTCGAAGAATTTTCCTGTCAGAAATTTTTACACAAGATCTTATTTGAGTTTCAGCATTAGAAATCGATAAATTTCCATATCATGAAACAATTCGATGCCAAAGAATTCATTTTTGTTGCTACTAGTAAAATAGATCTTAGTTTGATCTTTTTAAAATAGGTTCAAAAAATCCATGTCAAAAAACGGTAAAAAAATCAGATAAAAAATTGATTATAATGGCACTATATTAAGCTGATTTTAATTAGAGTTTTTAGCTTTAAGGACCACATTTCATTTGATTTTAGTCATTTTAATATATTTTAATCGGTTAGCAAACTTTAATCAATTAAAATCGATTTCTAATAATCAATTGTAAATGATTTAATTTAAATAATTGATTAAAATATATTCAAAAAGAAAGACTAAAATCAAATAAAATCTGATTCTTAAGGTGAAGAATCTGATTAAAATCAGACTAAAATAGTGCCATTATAATCAATTTTTAAATCTAATTTTTGACCGTCTTCGTATATGGAAAAACATCGAGTTGCTTTTCATTGAATTTTCTCAATTCTTTTTTCAAAAAGGGATTGCTTTTTTTTAGAGTTGCAACAGAGGAGAGAAATTATTTTAATATGATCAAGTGAACATTCATGAAGGACTAGAATAGTTTTATTCAAAATTCTGTTAAGAAGATTTCCTAAGAGGAGTTCAAAATTGAAAATATACCCCAAAAACCTTTAATGAAAAGTCTAATTTTCATATTTTCACCGTTTTTCGATAACTTTTCCCCTAAGATTTTATTTTCACGAGACTGCTCTGACTCGTCGAAATGCTGCTCATTCAGATTTGGCAAACATTAAAGACGCTTCTGCACTTCCAACCACTCGAGTAGCAGCAAAATAAATATACCGAATTCGTGTGTAATTTCTCCTTTACTGGTTGAATCCTTTTTTTATCAAAGTATATTGACGTTGTCTTGTAATCTCATATTTTGAATTGTTAATGTAATTACTACTTAGTGAAAACGTAGTAAATCATCTTATATCTCATCAAATAATTGTTGGCTCTCTTTCAACAAGGTTTTCGAACAGAGCATCACTATGAAAACGACAGTAAATTGATTTTTGAAACAAAAATTTCGTGAATAGTTCGAATTCTGATTAGATTATTAAACACTTTTAAGTTTAACTGGAGAACTTATTGTACTTCTCTTACTGTAAGGAAACAAACTTACGGTGCAGTTGATGATTACAATAATTATATTGTCAAGTATGTCAAGCCATGAATAGATAGAAATTATCGAACATTATCTACAGTAAAACATACCGTTATTGCAGGTATCAGACTTTGTTGTTAATATTCTTTCGTGATCATAGAAACATTTTAGGGTCAAATCTCGGTGGATTAGCAGCATTTCATATGGCTCTTTCCCATCCGTCGGTGTTTGGTATTGCTATTTGCATGTCGCCTTCATTTTGGGCTGGACTCGATTTTTTACCCTTACCAATCATGACTAAATATTTTAAATCATTAGAAACATCTGATTTGATTCGGGTAAACACTTGAAAAACATATGGAACAAATTAAGGATAATTTATTTACAGAAATACAATGATGTTTTACAATCAAACCATGTTCCAATATTATACATTGATTGGGGTTTAACGACAGCATGGGAGATTCATAATTCACTCGTAGGTCAGGTTCAAAGTCCACAAATATTTACATTTTTTAGATACATTTCTTTGGTGTGTAGAACGCCTCGCTGCCAGTCGATCGAATGAAATGGTTGATTTATTGACACAGAAATATGGTTTTAAACAAATGGCCGTAGAATCAGTCCAACAAATCAATGATAATGAAAAGATTTTATTGACATGTATTGATCCATATGGTGGACACGATGAAATATGGTGGGGCAAAAGACTTTTCACTATTGTCAACGTTCTTTTTGATCACATTTGGAAATTCCAATAAATTCCTTAACACAGCCTTATGTATAGAAAGGGTGTGGAGTGTGGCCATTTGCTGAGAGAAAACACATTCGCACCCATGCTCGCACCCACATCCATATCCACACCCACCAAAAAATTATTTTTTTCGAAGTGTCAGAAACTAGTGGCTCAGAATTTTATCCATTTTGAAAACAAAAAATGCATTTGTTAAATATGCTGTCCTTTGTAGATTGCAGAGCTTTTCGCGCTGCATCTTGTGATGTATGTTGATTTTTTAACTCAGTGTATTAAGTAATGAAAAAATGAATCGAAAAAGGAAATTCTTTTGTCCGAAGAAGAATAGAGCTTTAATAAGCTATTCGAAACATAACTCGGTTTTGATTCATAAAATGTTTGTTTTTTTTATCAATAAATATATGTTTCAATCAAGAAAAAAGAAGTCACCCATTTCATCTTGGAAACAAAGTTTGAATGAAGTGCATCAGAGCTACATTTTCTGACTCATAGGATCAAGACTACTAATATTTAATTGCATATTCTAACAATTACTATTTTAGAATGTCGATAGCTGAGTAGATGATTATGTTTGTGATGAATACTGTGCGTAAAGACAGGAAATATCTGTAATAACACCCCCAAACAAATGGAATTTTTACTTGTAATAGGTATTTTAAAAGCTTCTGTTCAAAATATTGCGGGAAAATCTACTTGAGTTTGACAAGGGTGTAGGCTGTGAGATGTGGATGTGAATTAAGCTTTTCATCTCAACCACTGCTATATCCACTCACACACACCCTTGTCAATACTAGCCATTTAACAAACTTTTCTTTGAGAAAATTAGCAAAATGCGAAATCCTATATGATATAAATAATCTATTTTTTGAAATTGGTCCTAAAATATTGATTGTAATTTTTATATTTGAGGCTTTCTGCTTGTTCTTAGATATAGCCAACAATTATGAATATGACTCCTTAATTTCGAAAACTAGGAATAAGTTGTTTATTTTTAGGCAATCGTTTTCAAAGAGGAAAGCTTTGAAAATCGAACTTAACGAATGTTCTTTTGTTAGTGAGAAAGGCATAGTTTTTCAGAAAAAAATCTCTATTACTGAGACAAAGTTTGTAAAGATTTTTATATCTTTACAGAGTATATTACACGCTGCTCAAAACAGAGTTGTGAATGTAATTATCTTGAGTTTCATAGAATTTGGAAATATTTTCAGAGATATCTTGGTAATATGTTTTTTTTATCAACATAGAATCCCATTCTCTTCTGTCAATAATCACATCGATGAGAATGTTACTTTAAGAAATAGTCGTTTCACGTACACAAAAGACCAAAGCCGAATCGAATTGAATCGAGAAGTCTTTATATTCAGTTTGTTTCGATGGATCACAAACCAATCGAGAAAAAAACTAAAGGAAAGGATCAAAAAGACATGTTGACATATATTATTTCACACTTTTGATGACATTAATTAAGTTTACTCAATAATGTTACATGAAACGGATAATTGAGTTAAATGAATCACATCCGTAGAAAAGAAAAGAATTCTAATTTTTAAGTTATAAAGAAGTCCGTCTAATTATTGTGAATAGAGGTCTTAGTTGTAAATGTTTAACTAAATGACGCAGGCGTATATTATAAACCAAAATACTGTTTGATAGGTTTAGCACGTTTTTGGTCAACATCTATTTACAACTTCATATCGGGCATTTCCTATGACAAGTTTTGAAGAAAAAAATATTTTAATTTTTATGAAAGATACAAAAAGGATTTATGATAAGATGAAGATTTATGAATAATTTCTGCCGACTGTTTTTCTCACATCTGCCCAAGTTATTCATTTCAAATAAAGCTTTTTATTAAAACAAGTTTTAATCCTTTTAGTATAAACTATTCTGACTAATTTTTGTATCGATCAATTTTTGCTCATAAAACCTTGAAAGACATACTGCGCTCATGAAATCCCGATTTTTCAAGAATCAATTATATTCCTTGTTTTCGTGTTGGTTAATATCAAAATTTTACGAGTCATTTTATTCCATACAATCTATTCTTGTTTTTCCTTTTTTAAAAAAAATTGAGGTCTCAATATATATGACCAGGTCAAATATAGAAAAGATGACTAGAACTTGATAGTAGAAAAGTAAACAGCTTATCCAGAGAAAAGAATCAAAATATATGTAGTATATAGCATATGCAACAATAATAACATTTTTTCTGTGAGTTTAAGCCGAATGGAGTCAAATCGGATCTGAATTAAGATTTTCGCACGCATTTTGGTTTCTGGTGCGCATTCATTTTTTTTTAATAAAAAATTATCTAAAGATGTAGCGGAGGAAAGCTCGATTCGACTTTTTACTTATATTTATGAATATTTAAATAGCATGAATGCATGTAATCCTGTCACCTACACCCGAGTTAATCGACACGACGTACAGATCAAACTATAAATATCGTACAGTGAACAAAGATCGTATTAACTACGAATGTATGTTGATGTAATCTGTACGACTGTTACACGAGGTTATGTGGCTGCATTTATCTATGCATAAAGAGATTAATTCATCATTGAATACTGAGTTCAATGTTTTCAATCGTTGATACAAAGCAATAACTCAAAGAAGAGTTGTACAACTAGCTGCTTTTCTAGTTAAACCATTAGTTACAAAAATAAAAATAATAGTCAATTAAGAAAAAATAAATAATGAGCAAATAGCAACAAAAAAAATAAAGAAAAAAACTACTGTGCAAAATGCAAATACAAATAAGACAGATCGTTTCTTTGGTGATCGATTATTTCCGAAAGGCAACTATCGTCTATTAGTTATTAGTTATTTGACGCATTTTCTATTAGCATAATAACGATGAAGAAGATATGCGATTTCCATATTTTAGCACCAAAGAAACTACGCTAACAAGCTTTTTTTTATTTTGTGTCTTTTATACTGGCTTCAAAAATATGTTTACACTTTGTAAGAAAGGACCAAGAACTAAAATCTTTCCAAGTGCACGTAACAAGTCAATCCTCATTGGTGTCTTTTTGTTTCAAGTGAAGTTTTTATTAGAATTTAATTTTCGTGGCTCATATTATCAACCGACAAAAAATGTCATGATAAACAACCACCAAAAAAAAAAGACTAAAAACTATATATAATATCAAATTGATGAATGTGAAACTTTAACTAAACCGATGGATACAGTGTACGTTGACAAGCTCCGATGCAAGTCTGATTCTGTTCATCAATGATCGTTTTATATGACTTTCAGGAAAATCAGATCCAGATAGTAATTGAAGATAAATTGTGTAACATCCTAGTGCGAAAAAACTATCAACAATTGACGTGCATCTTTATGCAAATACATTCTTGTATCTAAATATAGATAAGAATTTAGTTGTGGCAAAGGACTCTACCTTCTTTTATCAACACAGTAAAATATAAATTAGACGTTCTTTTGTCGTCAACTTATTTTTTCTTCACATCGTGGTATTACGACGCTATGACAATGCCAACATTTTTTTTTCTGGTTATTTTTTATCTCATGAATTGAATAATGGACTTGATAGAACACCTCAAATGGGTAAGAGAAAAAAAAGAATTCATTTAAAGGAAAAAACTATGCACGATTTTCACTATTGAACGATGGAACAGTTCGAATCACTTTGGTTGTCGTATCAATGAAACGATAATCTGAAAAACAACAGATGCTATGATAGCCATAGCTTTTGCTGCAGCTAGATATCAATATGGTCTCTTTTTTTCTTTCTTGCGTATATACAAATCATTATCTTCCTATTGTCTTTCATAGTGAATTTGGATGGTTTCAAGAAAAAAGTCAAGATGCTCCACGGATTATTCAACCTGATCCAAAAACTTTTTCCACTGTCAGATGTGCAACTCAAATTTTATTTTTGACGATACAACAGATAGAAGATATAAGACTTGTGCTGCTTGAGGTATAGATTATTTGAAACTTGACAGTTGTTATCGGGATGGAACTCCTGCATACAAACTGGTAACACTTTTTTGTATATTATTTGACATTTTTCTATCAAAGATGATCTTAATCTCGCGGATCTGTGACTATCTAGCCTCGAAAATAGTTGATGAACAAAAAATGATATTCAAGATAATTGGACTTCAATGATTGGCAATATTGATCGTGTAAGTTTATTTGACATCTTTCATATTTGAATACTTTTCTCTTTTCTTCCAGAACAATTATCTTGTTAAGCAACCAGGTCCAGGTGGTTGGAATGATTCTGATAGTAAGTGATTATTTTATAACTAGTCTAATATATTTTATCATATTCATTTAGTACTCGAAGCTGGTAATGGTGGCATGACGGATACGGAATATGTGAGACATTTCTTTCTGTGATCAATTACTAAATTACGATTGATTATTGGATGTGATATTAGGGACATATCACCCCGGAGCGGTTTTGAAGGGTACGTTCTCGGTGAATAAAAATAGCATATTCGGATTCAGCATGGTCAATTACCCCCGTCCCCGTTGAGATCTCGAGAGGGTACCTCTGACCGTAAGCCAAAAAAATTTTGACAAAATTCAATGGAAAACCAACGTACAGAACAGAAAAAAAAATCGATTCGCACTGGATTCGAACCAGCGTCGCGTCATCCACGCTCTTTAGCCACTCAGCTATATGCGATCTATTCTTATTCTGTTCTCTTTTGTATGTCGTTCTTATTTTTTTATTTAATCTTAATTGTATTGTTTTATTCACCGAGAACGTACCCTTCAAAACCGCTCCGGGGTGATATGGACATGAGTGCAGCCACTCTATTAACACTTACTAATCCAGATGTGATTGCTGTTAATCAAGATCCATTTAATATTCAAGGAAAGAAAGTGCCTTTTGCAACATCACAATCATTAATCAATTGCTCATGTTTAACAGAAGGAGTTCATAATGCTTTTCCGCTCTATAAAATATATCACTTTGTAGTTTGGTTTACAGTTGGATTACTTATGCGTAAATCTATTCAACTGTT